ATGTACCTGGGTTAATAGGGAAGTAACTCTGTGATAAAAAGAGCTGCTTTGGGCACAGGAGTCAGGAATGGAGGCACATTTGCCATATATTTGCCAAATATTTGACATCCCCAGGAAGCATAATCATCCTTTATTTCCTAGATTCACAGTCAAACTGTATCTGTAGTAATAAGATCAGTTTCAAAACAAAAATTCCATCATCAAACATCAAAAAGAGAGCTATCTTTCAGAGTAGTCATCTTTGGAGTCTAATTATTTCAAGAACTATCACCGCAAATTTTGGAGTTCTTTGGAAAATACAGCTCAAACTCGTTACTTTGTGGGTAAATTGGGTTTTGACCTTAGGAGTAGGATAAATTGCTTATTTCACAAGCCTTGGCTCCAAATGACTTCCAAGTCAGGAAAAGATTAAATCTGTCTTGAAGGATGAATATATGCTATCAATACGGGTATTAAAATTACTCCACCAATAATGTGAGTGTCTCTACTGTATCGAGCACAGTGCTCAGTGCTGGAGGTGGAGATGAAAGGCCTAATTCCTGCCCTGAGGAGTTTATAATCTGCATCAAACACACAGCAGCCTCCCTCACCTGCAAGACAATGGGTTTCCATAGGCTCTGGCCTGATGCTCACGCAGGCCTGTAAGTGTGTGCTCTGCCAGGCAAGAAGCCTGTCCCCAGAAGACCTGAGAGTAGCTCCCACCCCAGCCACTGTGAACCATGCTTGGCCCCACAAAAGAAAGGAAAACAGGAGAGACGTTGTATCAGATCTTCCAGAAGGTCTTTGTTGCAATTTTCCGCATCATTGAAAAAAAAAAAAAGTTACATCATCATCAAATAAAGACAATAGCAGCAGAGCTCATTGAAACGTCACAAGCAAATTTGCTCTTGTACTTTTCCTAAGAACATTACGAAATTCCCTCCTCCCCCCCACCCCGCATTATTTTCTGTAAAATGCCTTTTTTTTTTTTTTTAAAGCACCATGAAATCCTACAGAGAGAAAAACCGGTAAAACACCTCCACACGTGGGTTTATCGTCGTCACTGGGGCCCCTGCCTGGGAGTCTGGGACAGGGAAGAGGCCGAAGGCTGACTTGTGGGTCGGTTTGCATATCGCTTCTAGGCACCACTGCACCTCCTCTCTCCAAGCCCGGCGTCCTGGGGGCAAAAGGAGAGGTCTTTCCAATCACCCTGTGCAGCCCTGGTCTGCTGTACCAACGGAGCTGAGTCCTCTCAAGGATGTTTTTGGTTTTTTTTTTAATGCACAGGGAACTATTAGAGATTTTTCACTTAAGAGCCAATAACAGAAGGTAGATTTCAAATCTCTTAGGCACCTGTGAAAAGGATCATCACTTTCTGTAAAATCAGAGACACTTCCTATTTCTCCTCAATGCCGCTGTGCTGATGTCACGTGACCCGGGGGCGGCCGCGCGTGGACTGAGGTTTACATGGATGGCTGCTGGTTTATCCTGCAAGGGCAGAGTGCAGGGCTTTATTTATAGCCACGTCATCAACATGCTATTCCCAAGTTTCCATATGTAGAATTAACAGCACCTCCAATGCCAAATTCAAGTCACCTTTGTTTCAGAGAGTTCCCGTTCTTATCTTTTAAGGCCATCGCTAACTAGCTCTTACACTACACCAGCGCTGAAGCAGCCACGGTCTTTGCACGCAGTTGCGTCGCGGCAGAAATAATAAACCTCCTCTTGAAACCTCAGTGGGATGCAGAAAGCAGAGACCGGAAAAGCAACCCTGGGTTTTTTCCTCATTTTTTTAGAGAGTCTCTGCACATTTGTTTGTTGTCCTCTGCCTTTCCTGTGGTTCAGAAACCATGGTATACATTGGATGGTCTACATTTTTACCCAATCCAATGAGTATAAATCTGCCCCACCCAGATTCTGGCCACATTCTCACTAGTCCCCAAAACTAAGCACACAAATAGATGAGCAGCATTGACTCAGCCAGGAAATGACATCCTCTCAGGGAGGTAAGGGGGTGGTTTGCTAATGTCTAGCACAACTAGGACTTTCAACATCGAATGGTCCCCATGGAACCCAAAGCAGCCATTTCCAGTGTGTGTGTGTGTGTGTGTGTGTGTGTGTGTGTGTGACAAATACCTGTCTATAATATATGAATTCATGAAGTAATCAAAGGGAAACTTCACCACAATTGACTGCAAATAGCAACAGCTTAAAATTCTTTAAATAGTCTTAACACCATGCAAAAAAATGCCCATGTAGCCTGAGCCCTCCGGGTGACCGTGTGCTGTAAGGGAGGATAGTGTGAGCCTACACAGGGCACGATTCTAATTTGGACACCAGGCTCCCAAATACATCTGGTCTCCATCAATTACCAGAAAACAAATCCCAAAGGGCAGGAGACTAAGCTCTCCTCTTAGCCTAAAATGAGGGGGCCCATTAGTCAGTATACACAAACCCAACTAATACCATTCTTAATGAATTTAACAAACTCATAAACCAGGGGAGGTTTGGTCAGAGAACTGCAGAACTAACAGGGACCTTAATGATTATCTGTGTTCAACTCCCTTGGTGTGCTGATGAGGTAACAGAGAAGCATAGGGACCGAGGTGCCCACGCTCACAGGCTGGGACAGGGAAGCACAGACAAATAGTCCCTGTCGCCTCACCTGTAGGCCAGGGACACTCTTACCCACACACACATTAGGGCCCTACCCCAAAAGTGATAAGTTTCTAGAGTTCACTATTGGGTTAGGACTGGGTATGGAGCTACAGTCTCCAAATGGTCCCCTAGCCGTCCCCAGTAAACCTCCAGATCTATTAGGGAAGAAAAAATGGGTACCCAGCTACCGGGTGAAGCAAGATACACCACCACCCACTGAAGATACTGAACATGTGCTCTTCCCGTGTGCAAAATCAAGGCATTGATTCCAGGTTTATGGTGGGGTGGGGATGTGTGTTTAGGGGCAGGGCTGTGCTGATGTGCGTTTAGAATTTGCAGCAGTTTTGCCATGTGTTATTTGCTACGTGTCATTTGGCCCCATCTTAAAAGGGTACCATTCACACAACTTCATAACAACTGGCCTCCCCCCAAATCTTAGCTTGTACACACTAAGAGGAGTACAAGCTCTTATTCCCTCTCAGCTTCTCCTTTGGAGAGTATGTTATAGTTTGTCCAATACTTCCCACATACTTAATGGATCAATCTCCATAGAGGGAGGGCTCTTCTTGGATTTCATTCGTCAGGGCTTTGGCCCCCTCTGTACTCAGGGAACAGGTTATATTGGATATTTTCCCACTCTCAGCCAAGGGCTATTTTTGATTCCTCTGTATTACTGTGATTTGACTCCTTTGGGGAAGTGTCTACGCACACACCACCTGTTCCATTTGGTAGAATGTGCAGCTTAGTGCTTTGAATTGTTTTATTCCTGCTGTATACGGAGTTCCTGCAAGGTAAGCAAGTAAAGTGCAAAAGAGTGCTTTCAAAGGACATTTCTAACGATACAGAAAGGGCACCACATACAGCATCCCCAAAACCCAAACCGAAATAAGGTATAATTATCTGTAAGGGTAACACTTCAGGTCATGTTTACACAAATACTTCATACCCTCTTGGTAATAGAGATCTTCTCTCCACCTCTGTATGCCGTGTCCATGAAACTAAAAAGACACACATGCACACAAACACACACATACACACACCACACACACACGCACAAGAGTGCATGACATGGACATTATAGCAAAGTCAAAAGCAGACTTTGGTCAGACAGCCTTTGAATACCAGCTCTACCACCTTCTTGCTGTGTGCCATTGGGTAAGTTACTCAGCTTCCCTGAGCCTCCGTGTCCTCATCTGTGTAATGTGTTTGCCAACACTTCCCGTAGAGGGCTGCTATGAGGTTTCAGTGAGCTAACACCCATAAAGTGCCTAATCTAGTGCCTGGCCCACGGAAACCACTGGATAAATAACAAGGAAGCCTCTCGGCCAGATTTGTCTGTAGGGTCTAGAATTTTTAACACACTACTGTGAAGAAGGTAACGAGTAATACAGGGCGGAAATGCAAACGAATGAGATCAATGGATAGTTTAATGGGGATGCTTTTAACTTGTCAGAAGAATAGAGAAAGTCCCAGATATCTACCACTCAAAACACATCTTGTCATGCTGGAAGGACTCTCACAGTAAGAGCAGTGCCCGCACCTGCATAAACATCATTTCCGTGTCTGTTAATATGTGGACACAGGATGTCACCAGTGAGCCACGACTCCAGCCCAGTGGAGGTGTTAACCCAAATCTACCATGGATGGGAAGGGCCTCGTGAAAGCTGATTCTTATTTAGCTCCTTCCCAAAAGCAATGCCAGAACTTTCACTAGAGCCTAGAAGGTTGGGGGAGGGGAAGGTGGAGCTACATGCGCTCCAGGAGAGGGAGAGCTGTGCATTTTTGGGAAATGGGCAGGAAGAGGTCTGCCCTGGTACCAACGGTCAAGGATGCGGTGGGTATAATTTTCCCCAGAAGTCAGAAATTGTTAGATTATTTCAGGTAGTCTCTGCTAGTCTTGTGATCTTTTGACAAATCCACTCTGTGTGTTCATCTTGTGAAATCTCCAAAAGGTGGCGATGAGCCCGGCGGGGGGGCGGGGGGAGCCCATCACCAGCAACTTCCTGGGGTTGCCAGGTCCATATGCTTAAGAGCGTGGTCCAAACAGCTACGTCTGAACCATCGATAGCCAGCCAATTATGCAAGGGACTGAGGCACACACAGGATGGTGAGCCTAGCACCTTTCTGATTAAAAAATCCATTTAAATCTTCTTCTCAAAACTTGACTAGCCCCTCCCCCACTTTCCTTCAGTGGCCGTTCTAACCTCCTGAAACAATCCTGTCGCTATTGTTGGCCTTGGGACAATCACGCTGGTGTTCCAACTTTAGGGAATAGCAGGTTCGAGACAAAGAAACAAGCAAGGAAAAGAAGTGATGCTTTCAAAATAAGGAACACCCAAACATAAAAGTGGAATGTTGTAAATACTTCTTTTAAGCATTAGTTTTTAAATGGCATTAATGGCACTTAAGCTGCAAGCAATTAAAACAATTCCATTTTCTTGTACAAGAGTTGGTTGGGGGATTTTTTTCTTTTGTTTGGAGATAGCAAGATTGGACCTCGTCACTATGTCTACCGTAAGACACCCAAAGGGACAAAAAGCCCTGAGATGGAATGATGCCATGGTCCTCCTTGGTATGTCTCAGACATGCAGGATGTCTATTTTTATAAAAATTTAGGGTCAGCTAGACAGAACAGCAAGCCCCTGGCATCATGCAAGGCAATCATTTTGGTATTTTTTCCCCCTCTTATCAAAACAAGTTATAACCGAAGTTCCACTAGAAAAGTGAACATGGACATTTCAAAACCAGTTTATTTTCACCACTGCACCCACTGAGGAAAATGCATGATTTTTGCCTGTAACCATGCAGCGAATGAGGCTGAGTTTTCGCCAACGCTTGCAAGTTCATTTGTCATTCATCAATAGACAAAATTCAGTAGGCTTCTGTCATTGGTTAAGGTGATATCCACAGTGTGATGCATTTGTGATTTTTTTTTTCTTTTGTAATGAGGAAAGCAATTGCACCTTTTAATACGTGTGCTCTGATCTGTTTCCCACAAATTCCATGTGCTCCCAGGTCCCGTGGACATTCATTTGGAGCTTAGAAAGACTAGGTGTGCACTGAAGGATGTGTATCAAAATTCAAGCTCAGAGCAACATGCCACAATGTCAACTCGAACCCTCATTGCAGGTACTAGTTCATCCCCCATCCGGTCCCCTTCTGTGTGTGTGCATATCTCTAACGGTAGGTTCAGGAAATGAGGCTCCATGTAAAAGACACACCTGTTCCTTCCAGAAGGCTGGTCTAAGGAATAGCTGCCCTTTCTCCACGCCCGGCCCGGGCGGCGCCACTCTGGGGGCGTGGCACCGTCCCACACCTGCCCTTAACTTTTGTGGCCACGACCTCCTGCCTGTGCGAACACTCCCGGCGTGTCCTGCGGTCCCTGTCGGAAGTGCGGTCCTTGTTCTTTGATTCCTTTTGGCAGAGCGATCTTTCTCTGTCATTTATGGCACAGTGAAATAAATTCTTCAATGCTATGTAATTTCGGACTAACGAGAAGTCTATTTAAGGCACGTGTCTCAGGGTGAATATAAAAAAAAAAAAAAAAACCACAACGCTTGGTCAAGTCCTAGGTCCTCAGCATTTAGTTTCTGTCTTCAAGTAATGCGTTGTTCTCGAGTTCCCTGTCTTTGGTGTCCGTGGGGACCATTCCGTTCTCCATCCCGGCCTGCTGCTGGATGCACTCGGTCAGCATGGCGGTGCTGGAGTGGTCCGAGTTACACATCTTCTCTGTCTCCTCCTCCTTCTTCTCTTCGTCCAGGGAGTAATTCCGGAAGGTCTTGTAGATTTTGTGAACGTCCTCGGGCAAGGTCTTTTTGAGGTCCTTGTTTTTCCTCTTGGTGAGTTTGGAGGTGGACCCGAACTTGTTGATGATGTTGTCCTCAGAGGCCCCCTGCCCATGTTTGTTCAGCTGCTCGGAGCCCTTGAGGCGCAGGTTGTTGGGCCGGTTGTTGATGCTCTCCTGGGATGAGGCCTTGAAGCGGCCCGTGTCCAGAGCGGCGAAGACAGAGCGCTTCTCTGGGGAGAGCATGTCCAGCGAGTGGGCCCTCTGGTCCAGGCCCAGGCGCCGGCGCTCCATGCTGCGGATGGTGGCCGCCCGCTGCAGCTTGTCGTGGATCTCCACGCTGAGCCGCCGCCGCGTCTCTCGGAACTCGGCCGTCACGTTGGCCTTCCACTCGGCCGCGTGGGCCTTGATTTCACCGACCTGGCCGAGAGACATGAGAGCAAGGGCATGCTGAGAAAGTCGTACCCGCCTCGGGCCCCCCAGCCCTCCCAGCGCCCACAGCCCTTGAGTGTCCCGATGGGAAGGCTGGCTCCAGGGAGGCCAGGGGGTGGGGGAACCCATGCCTGGGTGGGGATGCTACCTCTGCCCTAAAGACCCATCTCAAATTGGCTCCTGGCTCCTGTGGCTCGGGGGGCACACCTGCTAGAGAACCCGGCAGGAGCCTGAGATGCGGAGGTGGTGACCGAACGGGAGGAGGACGGCATTCTGCAGGAGAGATCACTATCTAGAGTTGGCTGGGCTTGGGTTCGCATTATGCGTCCACCCCTTTTTTAGTTGTACGGCCTCATTCCTCCGGCGTAACTGGGGTGATCATGTCAAGCGCACCGAGTTCTTAGTGTTATGCGAGACAGAGACATGCACTCGGGCACAAAGCAGAGGTACAATCAGGCCTTGGCCCTTCTCTGTTCCTCCAATGCTTCTGTCTGCGTAGGGTGACCAACCCGTCCCAGTTAGACTGGGACTGTCCTGGTTGTGGAACAGAACGTCCTGTGTCTTAGGTACCCCCGCAGTCCCGGGCAAACTGGGAGTGTTGCTCACCCTGAATCTGGGCCACACTATGGTTGAGTGCCATCCGCCTTACCCTGCTTAAAGAAGAAGACCCTCCAGGGCATCTGGGAACCAAACTTCCCTAGTTATGTTCTGCGAAAGCCCACAGAACATTCTTCCTCAGAATTCATGAGGATCGAGATCAGATTTCTTGGCTCTCATCCAACACTGCCAACAGCGCTAGTCCTATGTTTTCTATACAGACGAGCAACTCAGCAGTCTGCATTTTTGCATTTAGGAAAGTCGATATTTATATGGTTACTTTCTCTCTCACTACAGCTGACTTTCAGCAGGTCAGTTAGCCATCTGGGGAATCAGACTGGAGATCGCATTGCCAGTGTTTTTCTAAGCCGGGAAAACTAACCCTGGGGCCCGGGAATGAGATGGGACATTTTCCCATTCAGCAACTTTGTCCCGGGGCCTTCTACACAGAATGTCTGTCTGCCGGGAAGTGAGCAGTCACCTTTCAGGAGACTCTCCCTCTTTTTATTTCTTTGGGTTTTTTTTTAATCTCCCTTCCACTTGTTAGCTCTTTTCCTCTTCTTCTCTTACCCTCCTTTTCAGTTCTTTTCCTCTCTTCCTAGAAGAACTACATGGACATTTTTTTTTTTTTAAATCACAAGATCTACCTTCCCCTCTTCTGTCTTTTCTTGCTTTTGTGTAGATTTTCACGCACATTTACCCAAGGGAGAAAAGGCTGCATGTCCCTGGACATGGGGGTAGGTTTGTTTCTATAGATCTGACAACCAGGAGGGGATAAAGGTGAAAAGGGACCCCTTGTGTTCACTTCCCCACAGCTGGTCACTGTTGGAGAACTTCAGCCTCGGAGAATCGAGAAGGAGTCCTTGTATCCTACTGCATTTCCATATAGACCCCAAGATCTGAAGGACAGGCCCATCCTTCTCAAGATTTTTACAAACTTTCTAAGCCTCTCCCACATATCTGCACACCTCCCTCAACTACGGTCTACCCCTGCTGACCACTGCTATTTTTCAAAAATCATTCTGGGGTGCCTGGGAGGCTCAGTCGGTTAAGCGTCTGACTCTTGGTTTCGGCTCAGGTCACAATCTCAGGGTCCTGGGATCCAGCCCTGCGTTGGGCTCCATGCTCAGTGGGGAATCTGCTTGAGATTCTCTCTCTCTCTCTGTCCCTCCCCCCACTCAGGCTGGCTCTCTCTCTCTCCCTCTCTAAAAATAAAAAAAAAA